GACCCAGCTGAGACAGGACCGCTTTATCGTGCACTGTGCACATCRAATATTCTGCGTAAAGAGTTATCCAGTGATGAAGATACTGAARGAGAGACTGTTGATGAGACGCTAATGGATGCTCTTTCTKTGTCTTATCGGGAGGCAASCCATTGGAAGACGCGGCGTCAAATACTTTCGATTATGGCCGACAAGGTGCGTTACAGAAAACTTGTTAGATACATCCCTGGCTTAACAAAGTACCGTTTTACAGAAGCAAAGCGACACTGTCTCACTTTTRCTAGAGGTGCACCAGTGCAAAGTAAACGCTTCCTGAGAACAGATGTKTCCCACTCACAGATACAACATTTTGTTGCCTTCAYTACAAGCTCTCACATTGTACAAGATCTTCCATTCGGTGAACGATCCATAACACTCAGCAACAAAGACAAGATAAAGATCCCAAACGTTATAAGAACCATGGTTCCTGAGAGAATAGTCAAACAGTACCAAGCCTACTGCACCGACTCTGGATTTGAATCATTGAGCAGAAGTACGCTTTTGCGTGTCCTTGCAGTTTGTCCGGCATCGACCCGCACATCCCTCCAGGGCCTAGATTATGTAACATCAGCTGGTGCGCAAGCATTTGAAGACTTAACTGACGTAGTAGAACGACTTGGAGATGCAGGMAAAGGAATGGGATGGGCGAAGGATATGCAGATCCGACTTCAAGCTGCAAAGCGCTATCTTAAGAGTGACTACAAGGTATTTTTTTATTTTATCAGATTTGTGAGTGTATCATCTTGCCTGTTCAGGCATTCGATGAGTTTTATGCTCTTCAATTAAAATGGCTGCAATTGAACTGCTTTACTCAACTCATCTCAACTTGTACTGTCTTCCAAGTCACATTCTCAAAAGTTATGGTTATCGTCTTTTCGTGTTGCTGGACCTTTTCTATGGAATTCGCTCCCATCTTCAATTATAGACATTTCTTCACTTGATAAATTTCAAACTGCTCTTAAAACCTTCTTAATTAAACAAACTTATGATCTGTGACTCTATTGTAACTCAGTTCTTTATCTTAATTTTTACCTTTTTATTTGCGCTTAGAAAAAGTTGTATAACGGCTTTATAAGCTTAGATTATTATTATTTATTATTATTATTATTATTTTACTGTACTAATCACGGATTGTCGTCTATGTAAACTTTCCTAGATAATAAGTAAAAGGACAAAATTAAAACATATAAACGCATGGTATTGCTTGATTCATTACAGGTACACGTGTCTCAGAGTTCCACAGTAGCAGACCATTGCAGAGTTTTTGCGTTAAGTGACCCAAAAGAAAAAGACTTCCAGAAGAAATGCGATCATGACCACAAAGATGCCTGTGATCGATGCRATCAATTAGTATCTAGCGTCAGTGAAATAGAAACATCCCTTACCACACAAGCTGGCAATTTGCTACCCAGTGTCTACGAAGAACTTACATTCACTGTAAAGCAAGCGAAAGCAAATATTTTTGCCTGGAAGTCTCATATACTAAGATATATGCAACAAGACGAGGCAAGAATTGACGCACTGGAGACGCTTGATGAACCCTCAGTGTTAGTAGTACAGGACTGGGCGATGTAGTATCACGTAATTCGTTTGGCTAATTTCACAAATCTCGTGTCCGCTCCACGATTTGATAATTTTTCGGCGTTTAAAATAATATTTCAGGAAACAAACTCCACCACGTTTCTAAGTACATATTAGAGTACCAATGGACAAAATATCAAGGATTTCGATTTTTCATCATGTGCCGCTGATATTTGATTTCGCTCGATATTCTTGCTTTTCACTCACGTGACCAACTCCTTGACAACGGCTGTGGTCCGCCATATTCGAGTACAGCTTTGCCTAGCAACCCATATAAACAATACTACAAATACAAGCTTTTAACATCTTTATACRATGGTCCTATGCTTATTTATTAATTGTCATAACCGTACGGGTCGAGATAAAGACGTGAAGTTCTATTCTGTGCCTGCAGTAATCAAAATCAGGGAGAAAAGGYCGAAGAATTGTCAATSGAATGGCGAACAAGATGGCTATCCGCCATCAGTYGTGACAAACTATCGGAGTCAATCTTGCGTTATGRTCGCGTTTGCAGTCGCCACTTTGTATCAGGAAAGCCTGCAAAAAGTTGGGACAGATATRATGTGGACTGGGTGCCCACTTTGAATSTTGGGCATTCAAAAAAACATYGACAGGACGAGCAGCAACAGCGAGATGCCGAAAGAGCCGAAAGAGTGAAATCGCGAAGCAAGAGAAAACACRAAGAAGCAWTTCGAGCCTCTGCTTCGAAAGTAATAAAGTTAGATGAGCCAGGACAATTAGTAAAAGATATTTTTACAGAAGATGTGGACGAAACAAAGATTGAAGATGTCTCAAGTCACTTGGAAACATTGACCGTGGCCGATGTTTCCCATGCCGAAAGCCGAAGCGACGACACTAAAACAGATTCAAGCACTCAAACCGACGAGTTCGATTATATGTTTACCTCTAGATGCTCTTGCAAAGCACCTTTTGATTCTGATGATATGAAAGATGATGAAAAAGTGCGGTTTTACACTGGTCTAACTGAAGTCAAAACTCTTCAACTTGTTTTCGAATGTGTATCACCCTATGTTACACGAAAATCGAAATCTCTSTCTAAATTTCAAGAAATGGTCATGACACTCATGCGAAATAGACTTAATGTGCCATATCAAGATCTTGGTTACCGTTTTGGAGTATCTGTATCAACTGTTTTCCGAATTTATACCACATGGATGAACATTATRGATGCTCGCCTGTCTCCATTAATTTACTGGCCAGAACGTCATGAATTATGGCACACAATGCCCAAGTGTTTTCAAACTGCTTTTGGAAATAAAACTACAGTAATAATCGACTGCTTCGAAGTGTTCATTGAACGACCAACAAATCTACTGGCAAGAGCACAGACMTTTTCTTCCTACAAGCACCACAATACAATCAAGGTTCTAATAGGCATCACCCCACAAGGAACAATTTCATTTTTGTCCAATGCTTGGGGAGGCAGAACCTCAGACAAATTTTTGACCGAAAATTGTGGTCTGCTTAATAAGCTTGTTCCTGGAGATATGGTGATGGCAGATAGGGGCTTTGCTGTAGAAGAAACTGTAGCATTGCAAAGAGCTGAACTTGTGATACCTGCTTTTACAAAAGGAAAAGCTCAACTAGATCCCATTGATGTTGAGAAGACAAGGGGAATTGCYCATGTTCGAATTCATGTTGAGAGGGTCATTKGACTTCTGCGCAGAAAGTACACTATTCYGGAAGGAATTCTTCCTACAGACTATTTATCCACCACTTCCACGGATCAGTCACCATTGATCGATCAAATTCTAAGAGTTTCAGCTGCACTAGTAAACTTATGTCCCCCCATAGTGCCATTTGACTGATATCATTGATATGCATTACTTTTTGTGTGAGTATATATGAGACTGTTATACATTTATATTGTATTTATCATATGGTGAAAATATACATTTCTTTCTATAATGTCTAATATATGGGTAGCTATAATTGCACATTGCAATATATTATGGTCACTTTGAGTTAAAGAGCATATGACATGAAAACAGTTTTTTGTYMAGTGAAAGAACGGTATTTGAAAACCCTAAATCTAAAATATTKTTCAATTCTGATAAAAACCTGACAAGTTACAGCTATTTAAAATTAGAAATCTCCCCCTGATTTTTGTCCCATTTTKGGGGACTGGATCCTAGCGTTGTGACGTCATTTTGTTGGCTAAGTTTTACTGCACTCCGCAATCTTCTCTTCGCGCCAGTAAAACCTCTTTCGAATATATCGGACTGTGAGTSAGAAACTAGCGCGTTATTATGCAATACCGATGTGGATATAGAATAGTCAGAATCAGACGAAATTATGGCGATTCAGGATAAAAAAGATAGCTAAAATCAGCTGAAGTGATCGACATAGAATCGCGGTGTATCACTATCAGACCAGCATCGAAGATCCTATGACTTATATGAACAAACTCTGACTCGAAGAGAAGTGTATAAAACTCTTGTATTACATATTACAGGCTGTTCGGCTTTATTGAAGCGAAAAGTATGTAAACAAAGAAGCAGCGAACAGAACATGAACAGAATATATGGCTCAGAATATCGTTGTTCTGTTGTTGTTTAGGAGCTTAAGAGCCACTTCGCGCAAAAATCAGACATATCTTGGCAAGGCTCGAAAAATGAAATCTATTCATATTTTGTATATTGATAAGGTATGATTAGGTAACAATCGCTGTGTGATTGGTTTTTGAAAATATTTCATTTTTCGCAAGAAAATCGCTAAACAATGTCACATACTGGGCCTTTGCGTGACAAATGTTTGATGGCTAAAAATAGCACTCGAAATAGCCAAACTTTCTACCGAGCTTGTGTGWAATGTAAAATAGTAATTTCAAAAATTTAAATTGTGGCTTTCTAAGTWAMTCTTTCTTATTTATTTCGTTGATTTTCAGAGCATTTAATTAAAAAGAAAATTTTCTAGAACTCGAAGTGTTTACATATGTAGTTGTATATGCAAATTAGTACCTTGAAAAAAAGATTATTTTTTCTATGTGCAATTATTTTGTTTGCAATGAAATTCGGCGYGATAACTAAGCAAGGTATGAGCTTTACAAAGAAWTAATAATAARYCTGGGCAAATCACTTTCAGGTGCGTAGGAGTGACTTATTCTAGTCACAATTATCAGCGTAAACGCATATTTTGTCAGTTGTATTAAGSCAATAATTTTCAAAGCATATAAACATCTAATCAACATTAAACGTATGTTATTGAAATAAAAAGGGTTAAGCTTATTTTCTTTGAACATWTTAGGCAGTGTAAATGAATTTCGGTTGTTTAAAACATTTGGTGTTTCAACGGATTATTATCGCCAGAAGTATTCATTTCTATTCAACTGAGAGTGATTTGCCCAGACTAATTTTTATGTATTTGAAAAGCTCATCTCTTGTTTAGTAATCACTCCGAATTTTATTGCAAACAAAATACTTGCACGTTTAAAAAATGATCGATTTGTAAAGGTACTAATTTGCATATAAAAATACATATGCGAATATTTCGAGTTCCAGAAAATTTTCCTTTTAATTAAATGGTCTGAAAATCACTGAAATAAATATCAACACTTGGATTGTACTTGAAAATGATGCGTATTGACTCAGATATTACTAACTTTTCTGCTTTACATGTAATAATACAGAACCCGGCGACGCCTACCCGTTTCAGTACACTATAAAGTTTTTCAGTAGCTTGAACATGATCGGATTTTGAAACGCTAAAAAAGGTTATTGTTAGTTGTAGTTATAACATAGTTAATAGGTTATAATAATTCAATATAACTAGATTCAATAGCGGCGATCGAATGTAAAACATTCTTCTTTAAAATGTGCCGAGCACAACGATATGTTTTTCTTTTTCGAAGCTAAGTCCGCGACAAACTTTGTCCATTTTTCACGTAATCCTGGGTCGCTTGGTAATGGGAACATCATATATCTAGAGTATAACTGTTATTTTTGCAGCTAATGTTATTTCTATATCCTGCCACGTAATATCTGCCTTTGTATTTTCGATTTTTGAGAG